GACAGACGGCAGGCAATGTATTCACTGCGCCGGTATGGTCGGGTGGCACGACAGACGGCAGGCAATGTATTCACTGCGCCGGTATGGTCGGGTGGCACGACAGACGGCAGGCAATGTATTCACTGCGGTGGCACGGACGGGCGGCACGATAGATGGCAGTTAGCGAGGCTTTCGTCGAGGTCGTTAAAGAAAGACCACGGCAATAAGAACCAGTCGGCAGCTCAAGGTCGAACCCGATTGACATTATTTGCGACAAAAAAAAACTCTTATTTAGTGACTTTTATTGCTTAAATACGGCAACTATTCTGTCATTGAAACATGTTGAATTTACCATACTGAAGCCTCAACTTTGTCCCAGTTGAATTTGTCCAACACAAGAAATTGCAGAAATAAAACAAATAGTGAATAAATTTTTTGTGAAATTAAAATCAAATATCGGAGTCAATTGATGCTATTTTATTTGAAAATGTTGCCGAGATCAGCTCCATTATCAGTTCTTCAACAATACAGGCATGATAATCAATAAAACTACAAAATTTACATGGTATACGGAAGAGATTAAAACCTTGCCTGCCAAATAATGGGGCGCATCAATAATATAATAAGTATACTTGAAACTTTCTCTGATTATAATTTTATTCTAATTTGAGATTTTAGCATACAAGTGATGCAGAGTTCCGAACAAATTATATAAATTAAACCATGGCAGAATAAAAAAAAATTAATCATCTATTTGCCATATACTAAATCACACTTAATCTCTCATGACTTAAACTTTTGGATCCTAGAATCACCCTGCATAATTTTTCCGATTGTTACCATGGTTGTGATTTTCAAAATACTCGCCCAGCCACCAATTTCACTCCAAAGTCTGCACAAGAGTGCCGTCTTGTTTTTCGTCGTCTCAACTGCATTAGGTCTCGGTAACAATTCACGGCCGCTATATTGTTTTGATTCTCATTATGTACGTCAGTGTCAACGCAAGAACAAAGTTTCAGTCATGAAATAACCTCTAATTTACATGGAAAGGTTACCGTATTACGGATGTTATTTTCACTCGTGTTATTTTTTGTGATACTCACTGTATAATGTGATCTGCCATAGACGCATTAATGATGTTATTTCATTTTGTGTTATGTTTTGTGATACGCTCTATATAATGTATTCAGTTCAATCGAAGTAATTGTAAGAACGCTCGACTGTAAACACAAAATAATGTGGTCATTATTTAGGGTGCTACATGAATGTGTTTTCGTCGCAGTTGTGCACAATACATTTTTACTTGTTCCTAAAACTTTCTCAAACATCATCTCCTCCACTATTTCCCACAACCATCTCGCCAGTATTATCCCCACCGTATTATATTCATCATGCAACCTCCCTTGTGTTATCTACTTTATTTTAATGAAATATCTTCGTTCACATTTCTTATTAGCTTAATTATTAACGGAAATTTTATTACACACTCCAGTAAGTGGGGTTTGGAATAAATAAATTTATATTAAAATACGCAGTTATTGCAATAAACGTGCTGTCAGTAGAAAATTATAACGGAACTTTTTCCTGCTATTTAACATAGATATTTTATTAATGTGTAACCTAAGCACACACCAAGAGTACGAGCGGATGTCTTCGTCAGGAATTAAAGAATGACTGGGAAGTGGCATATGCCCATCCTAAAGTTAGGTCGATATGTTGCCAGAGCATCTGCTTCTATATACTTTAAGCTAAAGTATTGCACCTGATGTACACGTACACCCAAGGACAGTCGCGTGTGTCATTTCACCTTTACCGCCCACTGCTCCTTCCCACCCCCCTTTGATTATTCCCACCACACCTAGCTTTTGTACCCCCCTCTTAGCACATGTACTGAAAGTTCTATCAAACGCTTATGGCTACATCGATCTGTCTGATTTTTTGGTGAAGAGATGGAGAAAAACAGGGAACAAATCCTGACCTTCCAAAAATTCTTAACTCTATTACTTTTCGAGTTACAGCTATTCAAAGTTTAATATCGTTTTTTAGGGACACCCGGTATAGAGTCCATACCATCTTGCTCTTCAGACAATGCAGCTCAGACGCCATACGAAGCAACGCTTCACTGCGTCCTTGTCCTCGAATCTTGTTGTCGGCGAGGCCCTATTCAACTTACTCGGTTGTACTGTTTTAATTCAATTTCATGTTTCGTTAGGGTTTCGCAAATTCATTTAGTTTTTTAAGACCCATTAATCTACTACATTAGTCTAATACTCTAATTAATCTAAATTAAAGCTACATTGATGCAATCTGTATTAAATTTCCGAATTGTATCGACATAAAATATTTATGCTAATTTTGTTCGATGCGTTTCTATCACCAATGATGTTAATTCACAAGTTGAATAATGGATACCCAATAAATTCCTAGCTGTACCGATGCACAATACGAACTACCGAAATTAACACCAGTCCCACCTAATTCTACGAACAAAATTACCTTCCTCGTTATGAAATGCTTTTAAAATTAGCGTTAACTTCTGATGGCAATCCAACTGACGGGTGCGTAACTTAAAAAATCTTAACATGCATTTTTTATGTTCTGATCTTCACCGTGATTTTGGTGCTCTGAATCCTAGGTGATAGCTAATATATGACTTTTATTGGTTTCAACGTTGTTTGTTGTAAAATTTTCTGTTATTCTGGACCCATTTCCTAGCGAAGAAGGAAAGAAAATGCTTCTGCTCTCCGGGCTGACAGCAACGAAATGACTGACCATTTCTGCTCGAGAGCTTTTGCCCTCCGAGCAAAGGCCTAAGAGCTAATGACATGAAGCATGCCGAGTGTACGACATGTCGGATATTTTCAATGAGTTTTTGGACAGACGTGGTCAAGGTCATTTGGATGCATGAAATATTTCCCATAAATGTGCTAATTTGATTGCTTTTAGGGTTTTGGATGAGCCCTAGGTACATATGTCATGCAACGTTCAGTGTGAGAAATTAATTAATTATTTTCATTCTAACCGGGACAATTGTTCAAATCATTATGGACCCACTTTTCATGTTTTTCACTGGCTGTTACGTCTGTTGTGTTTCACACTTATCTAATGACTGTGTGAAACTGTAAAATGTAAAAAAAAAAAACAATCTCTGAACATTGGGTTATTTTGGGATTCCTTTTTCTGACTTGTTTGAACGATGAGCTGAATTCGCAGAGGAATCGCAATGCTAGCGGTGTTGTTGTTTGCATCATTCATCAAACCTGCGTACATAATTCCAGCATAATACAAAAGCCGGCTTTCCATTTGTATGCTGACTCAGGATGAGGTCCCGAATCTTCATAACTAAATTCTTCTTATCATTCACGAGAATGTCCATGCATCATTATCGTTTGTACGTAATGAAATGATGAATCCTGATTAGCATTAATTCTTGAAAAAATCTTCATCATGATGGCAATTTATCACACTTATTAAAATATTTGTTTCAGTGAATAAAAAATAGGAAGAGTTTCTGAAGATACAGGTTGGCATTTTTTCTTGAAATATCTAATCTTGTTGAACGTTTACGAGTGAACAATGAACCGAAGAAAATTTGATCTTATTCCGTTTAGGCATTATTCACCATTCATTCCTCTAGCAATGTTTTGTTACGTCTGTCAGCCAATTTTTACCAACGTACGCGAGCGTACCGCGTGCCTTCACAATTCGCTCAACGGAGTCTGATGAACTACTTCAAGATCAGAGCGCGCATATCAAACAGAGCACTACCGGCCTTATCCAGTTTCTCGGAAATTGAGCTAAGAGAAGTTGAAATAAGTTCGCCTGGATTATCGTGAAGAATTATTTTCATTAGCATTTAATTTTAATCATTCTGGTATAAACTAGATGAAACCTACACTTGTTTACCTCCTCTAACTCCTTCATTTATTTATAGGATCGTTACCTTACTCGGTCAGATTGAATCTTTGTTGCGAATTATGATTTTGAGTGACAATGTCTCGGTATCGCTGGACTTTGGTTCCTTTCGATTTTTCAGTATACTATGAAGTACAAAATATAAGAATATCTGACTTCGCAATTATATTATAAATTATATCCACAAAAGTTATATAGACGATTTGAAATCTAAAATATATTTTTTTTCTAATTTTGTGTGTTTAAAAGCATGGCCTTAGAAAAATAAATGGGCCGAGGAGCGCGTATCAATATAAATATCGTTACACTATTTTGCATGCAAAACTAATTAATTTTACTAGTAAATAATGGCATAGATGTTGAAATGTAATTTAAAAATTACAATAATATTAACCATTTGACAAGCGTAAATTATTTAAAAGAAAATAACATAAAAATGTTCGTTCATTTCGAAACGGGAGTATAATCGGAGGTCCGTGGAAAACGTCGGTCGGAAGGTGTCTTTCATTAATTGACTCTAATTCAATTTGGCAATTATCAACAGAATTCTAGGAAACAGGATAATGGAGAACGGGATTAGCAAAAAATCGTGATTATCTATATCGAGCAACGTCTTGTTGTTTTGAAAACAAAATACATGGTAGAAAATATATTCGAATTCATAAAGAGTTTCGATGAGGTTCAAACTTCGATACGAGTTTGAACATGAACATTCATGCTTAACAATGTTTTAAAATAAGAATTGGTGAAAAAATGGAAATGCGATTTGATGAAAGTTTCGTCAATTTTCAGAGATTGCATACTTCGTGCAACGCCGGGCTATCTGATCATATAAATTTCAATATGAGTGAGATGAAAGCTGAATCTTGAATGGTTTTAACGAGTCTTGAGTGGAGTAATAGCATTTAGGTTGAAAATTAATAAATAATATCATACTGCTGGAAAAAGCTCACATGTATTTATTAATATTATCTTGCAGTTCATGAGTGTTTTTAGAAGAAATTTTAGTTTTACCAATATTAAATGAAATGCGATGAAATGCTGTAAGTTGTAAGGTCAAGATATGAATTGGTAGAGCAGAATCTGTTAACTGATGTACGCAAATTTTTTGTAGGCATAATCTGGCTCAAGTTTATAACTCAAGTTTACCACATATCGCAAGTTTAGTTATTTATTTTGTTCTATTAGGAAAGCCTCGAAACTTAGTCTCTTACTCCGATCGGTAAGAAAGGAAGCTGTAAATTTCATTACTGTAAAGCGCACCTGTTCATGCCGTAGGAAGGATTGATTCAATAAAGTGATTTTGATGAAGAAAATCAGTAACTAGGTCACCATACGATAAAAATATACCTAATATTGATTATAAAATATTGACCTTTATCTTTCCCGAGGAAAGAAGTGCTCTCCCTACAACTCTATGATCGATCTATTTTATGAAGTTTGTTAGGAGCTTGGACTTATAATCTAAAATTGTATTTTAGTTCTGGAATCAGGAGACATTGCATTCATTCGATTTGAAATGACTGTTTAAAATGGTACGAACATAATGTTAAATTTATCGTTATACAATTTCATTAAAAGTTTACCCATTATAATTTACTTTAAATTTGAAATGGAAGTTAATAGGAGGCTTTGTGTTGAATGAGGGTTGAAGGGATCTTTTTTTCGTTGATGTTACTTGACATGAAATTAAAAGGGAGAAAAAATAGCGATTTTTAAAAGAGGTTCCCAATTGTTAGATAATATCAAACCCAAGAAATGCTAAATTTAGTTACTAGCAATTAAAAATTTTAGAAAAAAGTCTTACCTAGAAATGTGGTCCTGTGCCACATGCAACGAAGTTGAAAGTGAAACTTCAACTTCGAAGTTCCTGAAACTTCATTCAAAAGAAGCATAATTCATGTTGACCCATATCTGTAAATTGTAAATTGAATTATCTCAATGACCCATTAGTGTATATTGGCTTATAATTGTAAATTGGCATGATAATTTCTCACATAGTATCTGTCGAGAGCGTTGGCCGTGATGGATATGGTGGAGACGAAGATGGACGTGGCCTGCAGAGTGCCCACCAGCTTGCACAAGAAGGGGGTTTGAATTCTTTCCTAAAGTTGTCGTTGAGCCATCCGTAAAGCACAGGATTGGAGCAGGCAGATGACATGCCTAACAAATGACAAATGGCGTACACCATCAACATGGCGTCCGTGTCATCGCCGAATGGGTTCGAGAAATCAGCAATTATGTTGTACATATTCAAAGGTAACCACGATAAGCAAAAGATAATCGCTATTGAAATAAGAAGAATATTGGTTTTCCTGTTACGAGTTTCGTCTTTTCGTGTCTTATTACCGTTTCGGACAACAGTTTTGGTCATACGGAATTTAAGTTTATGAACAATCCTGGCATAGGAGATGGTGACAGTGAGAAGAGGCACGAAGAACTGCACGAGCATCACGAAGACGCTGTAGTATCCTCGTCCGTGGTCTACAGGCCATTCTTCGAAGCAGAAGTTGACGGCGTCGAGACCTGGCAAGCCAATGTCGTGGTGTTGCAGCGTCCTGAAGAGGAACTGTGGCATCGCCAGCAACAGCGCGCACGCCCAAATGCCCGGTAAGGTGAGCAGCGCCCCCGAGGTGCCCAGCGCGCGACGTGTTGGGTGAAGAATCACCTGGGGGAATAGAAATATATCAATTAATGCGGATATTATGTTACAGAAAATAAGGTCGAGCCTTTCAAATTGCAGCATAGAATAATTTTAACTTCATGTATGCGAATATCTCTTCTTTTATGCTTTACTAGAAAATCGCTCTTATTTGGCAGGATAATTTTCTTTCTGAAATCACTATCTCGCTGAAGTTAGGCTTCACTTGAGTTAATATTTTAATCCTACACTAACATTCAAAGAATGACATTTGAGTCTGATATGCCTGTTAAGAGCGCTTTTCAAGTAACCTAATAAATAAATTCCTTTGAAATTATTTTCGCTTTCTAGCAAAAATCTTCAAAAATATTCCAAGCATCATTAAATATTTTACTGTAAAATTTTTGGCTGAAACATCTCGTTTGGTTTCCTCCATAGTTTCATCGCCGTCGGGGGGCAGGAATGTCAGTGTCTCATTCCTTGACTTTACGGCCTGGCGCCCCGCGTGCTGAGAAATTCCCCCGCGTCTTTCATGAACTCTGAAGCGGCCTGAATGCATTACGCTAAACCGAAAGCTTGTCTCTGCTCTGGTTTTTGTAATTCCTGGATAAAGCCGTATAAAATGCATGAGTTAAAGCGTTTATTTTTGTACCCATCGCCATCAAAAGAAGATGAATTTTACGGCCCATTTCTCTAAATATTTTAGATCAGTTTCATACATGTTTCGTTAGATATATTAAAAAAACTAGAACATCATCCAGCAATTGTACGCGCATTACAATTCATTTTAATACATGATAACTGGATATTTATTTTCCAAGTAGAATTTTGTATGGACATTTGTAAAGCTTCTTATCCTCTTGATCCGCTGAACAACATCTCTGCTTGCAAATTTTTCCAGCGATAATTAATAAAGAATTGGTAATTCCAGAGCATGTGAAACTACATGCCACTGGAGACACCTTAATTAATATTAGCTGTAAGTTTTAGTCGCTCCAAAAATTTATATAGTTATAACTTTATTTCGCAAACGATTTTAAACAAATTCGCCACTAAATTTCAAGTAAAGATGAATCATGACCGGAAAAAATATGCAGTAAACAAGTGGGTTTAACTTGAACTTTTCAAACTGAAATATGAATTCAAATAGCGTTTGCGTTTAAAATACTGTTATAAATGGATCGAACCAAAATTATACAATAAAATAATCTAATTGGTAATGATCTAGAAACCTTTGTTATTTATTGAACTCTGAAACCGATCTACACTTGTTTTTCAAAATCGGTACTGGAGTAGTGAGCGAATCCGTGAATCATGAAACAGGAGCTTCGGACGAATATCATCAATTAAATGAACTGTTCCCAGTGGGTGTTGCAACTACAGTGAGTGAGTTGCATTTGAGTTTGAAATGAATTCATTTAACTACCTAGTGAAATGCTACAACTCATTACATAAGTCGCTTTTAGTGCATGCAAAATGTGTTGCAGCAGAAAGTAAGAACACACAACACATTTTCTTCTTGCGGCTGAATAGTGAGAAGTCTTATGAAGAAGTAGACCTCGGAAAACTTGTTCTTTGGCACTGACACATTGCTGTCACAATAGTGTTTATTTACGTTGTGACACATAAATGTCTAAGTTCGTGGGCTCAAATGAATCATATTTTGGAGTGTGGGCTAGTTTCGATTAGAAAGCAAATCGAAAGAATCGATTTGTTTTCCATGAATCGATTCATGGAGTTTCGAAAGAATAATGTCTACCATGATTCAACGTGCCAATCTTGAAATAATCAGGAAAATGCGATCTACTTTTTAAGGAATACGAAATAGCGATCGATATGTATACAGGGAAGTTAGTTATTTCGTGTCACGCTAAACAAGCATTAATCGTTTAACGGTGTTTGAGTAGCCGCGCTCGAGAGCTAAGGATAAAGTTGATGCACTTCTAATAATTAGGCAGCGAAGTCATAGGCTGTGAGCGTATAGGCTCCATGACGCGGTCTCTGAAGTGCTCCGTAAACTCATCAACACCTCCTCAGTCTCTATTGCTCGATATGAGTGTCGCTGGGTCCTTGTGATGACACCATGACAACTTGTTGGTCACGTTGCCAATTTGTTGGTCACGTTGCCAACTTGTTGGTCACGTTTCCAACTTGTTGGTCACGTTGCCAACTTGTTGATCACGTTGCCAACTTTTTGGTCACGTTGCCAACTTGTTGGTCACGTTGCCAACTTGTTGGTCACGTTGCCAACTTGTTGGTCACACCCTGAAGGAAAATTTGTCTGCTCTATCAATATAAATTTTGTGTCAAATTCAACGTTTAAAAGGAAAATCTCATAATTTTGAAGCATTATTGTTTGTCATCTCAATCAAATATTCAGTGATTTTCGATATTTTCTTGTAAGACACACATTAAATTTTTTTTGTAGTTCAGTCCCGCTTTTCATTTGACCGTTATAACTAGTTTATTATAGTAGAAACCGCTCATATATGCTACATTCTCCTAAATTTACATAGGAGGAGCACATGCCATATTTTCTGTAGGCCACGGGAACGGCAGGGAAGTGAACCATTAAAGGTACAAATTTGGTACCTTAACAATTGCGCAAGTGTCATTTGTACAGGTATAAATTGTACCTGTACCTGTACAAATGAAGTTGGGCTTGTTGGCCGGTCGTTTGGACAGGTGCCATTGCGCAAGTGTAATCTATACCTGTACCAATTTGTACGTGTATCATTACTCGGAGGTCATTTCCCCTAATCTGTGCGACGTGCCTCTCGGGCTCTATTCGACTGAACGAAGCGCTGAGCTGCCGTCATTTGTTTCACGGGAACTAAGTCTTTTCGCCATAAAATTCAGAAGCCCACATTTCATTTGATACGAATATTATTTTTAACACGGTGTACCGGTTTAAGTTTTGAAGCGTATAAGTTTCATAATGCATAAATATGAAGTTTATCTCAGGAAGTTGCTAAACACCTTAGGAACATTTTTTTCTGAACTTTTGCTGGCTCACTAGTCCTATTCTTCTGCGCGCTTTAATTCACGCTGAACAGTTCGACGTGACTGTGCGACAGAGTGATTTTAAGATTCTGGGTGCCACTTCTGGTGAGTCGGATTTATGTATTTTGAAATCGCAATTAAGTTATTGTAGCAATTAAATTTTTTTTTTCTTTATGTTGTATATGCTTTTTCTTTTGAAAGTACTTACATTCTCTTAATTTTTAACCGATGATGGAACTGGTCTTTGAAACGTTTTCGATTACGAGATGGTTGTAAGGTTGTAAATTAAATTGTAAAATGCACAGATTGAAAACACTCGACGAAAGAAATAGACCGGGCCTTAGACGAGTCGTTACGGAACATTCCTCCTGTGAGCCACCCATTTCACTATAACAATTACGTTTTCACTTACTTAGGTTCCTAGTTAACACACCCTGCCTTTATTGGTAAGATATTCCACTCAATCAATTTAAGTTAAGCAGTAAAATCTGCTGTACATATCTGATATTCAGTGGCTATTGAATGATGATATTGCGAGGCCATCATCAACGTGTTTAAATGATTATAGTCTCATTCAGTTCTGAAGTATTATCATTTTCAATGTGTAGGGTTCACCACATGGACAATTGCTCATTCAGTGGATCAGGGTAGCGCTTTTAACCGTTGTGTCAAGAAATTGCCGAGCCGAGCCATCGAGAATAGTTAAGAGTTGGCAGCCAATGGGCCAAATTGTTTTGCGTCTTGTATTATCTATTAATGTATATATTGCCTATTCTTCTGTCTTAAGTAAATTGTTGGTGTTCATTAATGTTTGGAGTATATGCGTGAGTGAAACGAACCCAATGAAGGACAGCCTTCATTACTATGATGAATTTACTTGAATATTTTTTGCTGTTAAATTCTCGATTAACCTGTTATTATTCAACCTAACTATATAAGTACTTATCTAATGAAGTTAGGACACTCAAGAGCACAATTGTAATTTATAATCACTTGCACACCTTGGCCAGCAATTTACATATTGCAATGCCTCATAAACATAAATATACTTCTCTAGGAACATTTATGTCGTCAAGAATACACAATTACTTCTTAGGTTTAATTGAGAATCATTACCACATTTCGTTCCCAATTCCGCGGAGGTAATCCAGCTTGACTTGTAATGCGCGTCTTCGATTACTTCCGACGAAGCTAATTCCTCTCGCTCTGGTCTCCTTATGCAAGGCCGCTAATTTGCCGCTCGACTAACATAAGCCGCTCGACTAAGCCTGATTCTGGTGTTCGGTTTTCTCGCAAGGTAACTCAACGGCAGACAATGTGTTCACTGCGCCGGTATGGTCGGGTGGCACGACAGACGGCAGGCAATGTATTCACTGCGCCGGTATGGTCGGGTGGCACGACAGATATTTTAATGAATTATCTTCGTTCACATTTCTTCTTATCTTAATTATTAAGGGGAACTTTATTAGACACTTCAGTCAGTGGATTTTTGAATAAATAAATATACAATATATTTAAATACACAGTTATTTCAATAAGCATAATGTCGGAAGAAAATTATAACGAAGTTTTTCCTTCCATTTAACACAGATATTTTAATAAAGTATAACCTAAGCACACACCAAGAGTACGAGCGGCTGGCTTCGTCAGGAATCGAAGAATGACTTAAAAGTGACATATGTCCATCCTAAGGTTAGGTCGATATGTTGCCAGAGCATCTGCTTCTATATACTTTCAGCTAAGGTATTGCACCCTATGTATACCCGAGGACAGTCGCGCGTGTCATTTCACCTTTACCGTCCCCTGATCCTTCCCACCCCTCTTTGATTATTCCCACCACACCTAGCTTTTGTACCTCCCTCTTAGCACATGTCACTGAAAGTTCTATCAAACGCTTATGGCTACATCAATCTGTCTGATTTTTGATGAAGAGATGGAGAAAAACATAGGGAACAAATCCTGACCTTCCAAAATTTTTTAAATCTATTACTTTTCGAGTTACAGCCATTTAAAGTTGAATATCGTTTTTTTGGGGGACACCCGGTATAGAGTCCATACCATCTCGGTCTTCAGACAATGCAGCTCAGACGCCATACGAAGCAACGCTTCACTGCGTCCTTGTCCTCAAATCTTGTTGTCGGCGAGGCCCGATTCAACTTACTCGGATGCACTATTTTAATTCAATTTCATTTATTTTCAGTTAGGATTTCGCAAATTCATTTAGTTTTTTAAGACCCATTAATCTACTACATTAGTCCAATTAATCTAAATTTAAGCCACATTCCTGCAATCTGTATTAAATTTTCGAATTGTATCGACATAAAATATTTATGCTCATTTTGCTAGATGCGTTTCTATCACCATTGATGATAAGTCACAACTTGCATAATGGATACCCAATAAATTCCTGTACCGATGCATGAAACGAATTGCCGAAGTTAAAACCGGTCCCACCTAATTTTACAAACAAAATTACCTTACTCGTTTGGAAATCCTTTTAAAATTAGCGTTAACTTCTGATGGCAATCCAACTGACGGGTGCGTAACTTAAAAAAT